CTCTGGAAATCAACAGGCAAATGGCAAAGCCAAATCTGCAATTAAGAGTGCAGAACGGCTCATGAGAAAAAAACAAGACGCCCACATGGACCAGTTTCTAGCATTGCTTAATGTCAGAAACACCTTAACCCATGGAATGGAAAGCAGTCCTTCTCAGTGTGTAGTCATCGCAACTGTACACTTCTCCATTGAGGAGCAACTTGCTAAACCTTAAAATGGTTAGCCTTGAACCAAGTGATAAGACTCTACTGGAACACAGACAGAAAGATTCAGAGCAAATACTATGACCGTCATAATGCTACAAAGGAGAAGAAAGTAAATTGTTTAAGATGTTAGGGACAATCATTAACCTTCGTGCCTGTAAAAATCAAAAACAAAAGAGCTGTGTGTCAAAATTTTTTCCTTTGACACTGCTATTATTTTAACTATCTTTACTTCCTCAGCAATGTTTTTTGTTTTATAAGGTGATGATTAGAATTTATAAGGTGATGATTAGATATTATAAGGTGATGATTAGAATTTATAAGGTGATGATTAGAATTTTAATAAAACCCAAACATATGAAAGTGAATTTATAGATTTTCTTTGTTGAGAATTGACAACAAAATATTAAACACTGTATTAGATTTTGTTTATTTACAAGAATAATATTATATTTACAACATTCTAAAAATGGAAAATAACTAATTCTACAATGCAATGTTTATCATCAATTTATAAAGAAATAAAAATAAAAATATTTTTATACATAAATTTACAAAAAATGTCTGTGAGCAAGAAAATTTAAATAAACACATAACGATGAATAATTGGAATATGTTTTTTTTTTAAATTAATTTTCCAGTCAATTCTTTCCAATAATTTATATTGCTATTTTCATAAAATTATGCATAAAAAGGAAACCTGTTTTCATACTTATTCATGAAATGATAAATAATAAATATTCATGAAATGATAAGTAATAAATATTACATTGTTGATGGTTTAAAAGTTTTTATACTTTTGTAATTATTTTAAGATTACTGAATAAAAAGATTTCTTTTCACATTTATATCTTTATAAAATGCTATATAATAAATATCATATAGAGCAACTCAAGGCAGTGTAATGGTTAGCAAACTTGTCTCGCTAGAACAATTATGACTAAATAATGAGTTCGATCTTAGAAAATCGCTATAATAATAATAATAATAAATATCACATTGGGTCACATATTTTTATAATTTTCTAAATAAACATTGCCGATGGAGTGATGGAAGTACAAAATAATAGTGACGTCAAGAAGAAAGTAAGACCGTTTTGACACACACTGAAATTTAGTTTACCATGTTACCATTAGGAGGAAATTGGGCAAATCTTATCAAATATAATAAATAAAATGTTTCAAGATGCTAGCAAATAGAATAAAGTCTGTTGTGTATGGCATGAGCAAATTAAATGATAATATATCATATGCGACCAAGTACAATGTATTGTGTAAGATTTTATCAATCAGTAATTGGTATTAGTGTTGTATATAGTGCTGCAAAATAGAATAAAAAAATGAGGTAAAATGCTAGAAAGGAGAATGAATACATAGACTAGCCAAGTAGAATACAAGAAATGATACAAAATGCTATCGTCAATGTGCTGATTCCCTTCAGGACATTGGAGATCATGGCTCTCCACAATCTCCTGTTCTTTGTAGCTCTTAATAAATTTTGTCTTTTTGTTATCTCTCCTAAACCTTGTTCCACCATCTATTTACTCAAACTCACTAGGTTATATATTGTTTTCCTCTGCCCATCTTGCCTTCATCCTGTCAGTATCAAATTTCCCAACCCTTCTTTCCTCATCATATGCCCTAAAAATTTCAACTATTTCTTCCTAATGTTAAGTATATGTCCTTTTTGTTTCCATTTTCTCTAAAACGCTGTCATTGTTCACATATTCGATCCATGATATGCTCAACATCCTTCTGTAGTCCTACTGTATGAAGCAGAAACTTGGACATTATCCATTTGTCTTGAAAGATGGCTGGATGGAGCATATACAAATCTACTTAGAAAAATCCAGAACTTCAGATGGAGATTCCATGCAATGCTGAACACAATTTATGGAGAACTGAGACGAATCTCTGTTAAGCTAAAACAAAATCGATTGCAGTTTGCCGGCCACTGCTCTGAGCAGACGAGGAGGTCATCTCATCCTTACTGCTATGGCATCCTTCTAGAGGCGTCTTCTTGAGAAAGTTGACTTACCCAGACACCATGGCTCTTGACTCAGGGTTGGATGTTGGTGATCTGGCAGGACTGAGCAGTGTGGATAGGGACTGTTAATGGAGTTCCAACCACAGAGAGGCCAAAGGATGATGATGATGATGACGATGACGATGGTGTTGATGATAACCACATTTCTGTTCTTTCAAGTCCTTCTTCATCTGTAATGTGAGTTTACAGTATTTACTGACATTTAGGACGACTGATATTACACAACAGTTCAATACTCTTTTCTTTGTTTCTAACAAAATTTTCCTGTTTCTTAATCGCTTAACTTTTAAAAGGCGTTTTCGCTATTCCAATGGGCATTTGTATTTTAGTGTCACACATTTTCCATCTGTTAAAAATATCCCAAGAATTTCAATTGAACTTGTTCAATTTTGGTATCTCCAATTTCTGATTAGCATGTTAGATTATTCCTTTTGTAAACAATCATGCATTCGGTCACGCAATTCAGGTTTAGTCCCTTCTTCTCACTTGTGGGTTTCCTTTCTGTATCTGCTAGTAACGCTTTCATCTGCATATATAATGTTAAGATGGCGGCTGTCAACAATGAATTCTGTTAGTAGTTCTAAGTCTGGTGAGAAGAGACGCCTTTGTCTTATTTATGTATATCAATATATTAAAAGATGTGTTGTATGATGCCAGCAATTATAATAAAAAAAAATACCGCAAGTTGTTCTCAATTAGCTGAAAGAAAATGGTTCCAATGCTACAAAATGCCATCAAAGAAATGGTATAAGATTCTATCAATTTGAAGAACCTGTGTTGGTGTCTGATTCTGGCTCGTGAAATAAAAGAATGGATATATGATACCACAAAGTCAAATAAAAGATAAAATGTAAGATGTTAAGAAGAATACAGGAAATGGTGTGCAATAGTACTATTTAGAATGGTAGATATGGTGTTAGTAAATAGGATAAAGATTGAACGAAATAGTTTAAGTTGCTACCAAAAAGTATAAAAATCATTTGTAAAGTATAAAGTGTATTTGACCACTCACCAAAGTTATTGTTGGATTAGCTCCCTTGCTTGGAAAAATTAAAATTTATAAAACCCTCAATTTTTCAAAGTTGACGCTTGCTAATAAGATAAAGTCTTAATGAACCGTTTCTAGATACCACTCATTACATTTGCTAACAGAAAAGATAAATATAAATCTTTTGTTCTGATATTAACGTCCATGAGTTTTTGTTACAAACACTTCTCTCCTTTGTTCAGGACTATCTTTGCTTTGTCCTGTCATTAATATTGCTCAACTATTAAAGTCTCTGAAATATCTTCAAATTGTTACGCATCTTCTTTCACCTATGATAACACCACAACTCGAATTTTCCTTAATATTACTTCAGCACTAACGTTACTGAGTTTCTTTCTTCAAGGACTCTACATCAAATATATGAACACTTACGAAAGACATTTTTGCATGCATTTGTTTACATTCCTTTTCTTACAAGAACATTACATAACCATACTTAAACAGTGACTATAATCATAATTTGATACTTCTTTATAGCACATCCTTGAAAATCACGTGGTCCTTATTTCATCCAATGAATATCTTTTATATGTATTTCCGTTTTGTTGCCAAAAATAAAATTGGACGTTATTTTTTTTTAATCAAATACAAATGCCTTGTTGTTTTGTACTTAGTTTGTTGTCAAACATCTTTTGAACAATTTTGTTTTCAGAACCTTGAGCACAAGCACACACCCTGCAAACACACGTGCAACATTAGCACTAGATGAAGGAAATAGACTATGATGTTTGAAATATGATGGAAAGCAGAAAAAGAAAAGGTGTAAAATGTCATCAATTAGGACCAAAGTTGTGGTGTACGAGACATGCAAGTGAAATAAAAGAAAAGGTGTGGGATGTTATCAATTGGGACAAAATAAGTTGTGTACGAGGTAAGGAAGGAGGATGAATAAAACAGTGTAAGATATCAATTAGGATCAAATGTGTGGTGTACGAGGTAGGCAAGTAGAAATAAAGAAAAGGTGTAAGCTACTGACAGTTAAATATGATCCTACCAAATAAAATATAGAATTTTTTTTAATTTGCTTCCATGTAAAAGAAATGAATTTCTATATGAAAGAAACAAGTGGAATAATAGAAATGGTATAATTTTTTTTTTCAAGGAGAATATACTCTTAGGCAGATTATTTATCTAAAGTCGGAAAGGGGTGGGGCCAAGAAGCGAGGCTTGAGGGATGTCTGCGTTGATCGCCTGAGGACTGGCTGTTGACAACTACCTTCAGGGACCTATGCTACCAAGCAGAATAACAAGGATGGTGTCACATGAAAATACAATGAAGAAGAATAGAACAACAGAAAGGCTATTTATGACATTGCTAATAATTTGAAGAAAAAGAAAAAAACGGCTTAAATTAAATTGAAAGAGAATACAAAAACGAAGAAGGTAGTAGATAGATTGAAGGATATACCGAAAACAAGAGAAAATATAATTTTTTTTATCTTGTTTTCTCATATCGTGCGTAACGGGTTAGTAGATAACGCTAGAGTCCACTTAGACATCTGGTTAAAGTGAAGCCCAGGGGACAATGTGAGGGGGAGTGCAGTGACCTCTGCGAGGCGACCGGTGCTGGCATATTTTTGGACAAAGATCATCTAGGTAGTTGCAGATCATTTTATGGCTACAAGTAGAAGAAGCAGAGACTAAGGAAATAATCCCATGTCACTTGTTGATAGGGGTGGGTGGAGTTGTGTATCGCTGAAGAAATGAGATCTCGTTGGATACAATGCAGAAATCCGAATGACGAAGAATTTGGACAACTGGTAAGATAATAGTCACGTCGGGGTCACCACTCCTGCGGCGCTTTACCTATTCCAGCATCCGCTGACGCCTGACGATCTAATCCAGTGCCCACTGACGTCCAGCGCCCGTTAACGTCCGGATACCGTTCCCGAACAAACGACCTCTGTAATCTTACTATCCACCGTTCGCAAATAAAGACACAATTTCCATCGTCTACAACGTTTGTCATCCTTCTTTGCTATTGCTATCTCCTTGCCTTTGTGTCCCCTTTTTAGTTGTACGGTCGATTGGCACTCACACCTCTCGGCCCTCTGCAACAAGTGGTGACCCCGACGCGATCTATAGACACAGGCAAACGGCTAGCAGAGAAGATGACGGAAAACACCGAATCAGAAATCGACACATCAGCCGCCCTGATACAACTACCGCCATACAACTCGATCAACACCAGGAGTTGGTTTATTCAACTTGAGGCGATATTTTCAGCCCGAAAGGTCACACGACATAACACTAAGTACGCCTCCGTGGTACAAGCCTTACCAGCATCGATTGTTGAAGAAGTGGAAGACATCCTTCTCAATACTCCGGACCAACTCCCATACACCTGCCTCAAAGAAGCCATCCTCAAACGAACTGGACGTTCGGACGAAGACCTCATCAGAGGCCTATTCTCTAATGTGTCTCTCGGCGATAGAACGCCATCCCAGCTCCTCCGCCTGATGAAGAGCCGCCTCGGGAACAACACCATGGAAGAACCCATCCTCCGAGGGCTATGGATGGATCGGTTACCACCGAATATAACGCAAGTCCTAGCCCTGGTACCAGTAGAAACGCTCCTTGACGTTGTGGCCGATTCAGCCGACAAAATATACTCCCAGGCTCACCAAAATTTCACCAGGTTGAAAACCACGGAAATCACACACTACGCCTCGAAGAGGAGATGACCCAGCTACGCGCAGAGTTGAGAGACTTGAAACTTTCCCTATGACGGAGGCAGCGAAGCCCAGCACCACGAAATCGAAGCCGTACCCGCAGCTCAAGTCCAGGACGGAGAAACAGTGCGGACGAACGTTGGTACCACCAAACCTTCGATGAACAAGCCCGCAAGTGCCACCCTCCCTGCAGACGCAATAAGACCCAGGGAAAACGAATAAACCGACAGGCAGCGACGACGATCCCTGTCGGTACTCGCTCACACAGTCGTCTCTTTTACGTGTGGGACCGTAACAATGGCCTCAAATTCCTAGTTGACACTGGCGCAGCCATCAGCGTGATACCACCCACCAACAGATCCGCCTTGAAACCCACCTCATTCCAACTTCGAGCGGCAAACGGCTCCACCATAGAAACCTATGGGACCAAGGAGCTTACCTTAAACATCAACCTCAGGCGCGACTTCAAGTGGTCATTCACTGTAGCTGACGTCAAGACACCCTTGCTCGGTGCCGACTTCTTGGCACATTACAACCTGGCTGTCCATATGAAGACGAGGACCCTGTCCGACAACACAACATCCATCAAGATCACAGGGATCCCTTCGAGTTTCAACACAACTAGGATTAGCGTGGCAACACAGCACGACCCACGCTACGTAGAAATCCTGCGCCGGTACAAGCACCTCACGCAACCCATCAAACCAACTGATGCAGGCGACCATCAGACCCAACACCATATAAAGACCACAGCATATTCACGGCCACGACAGCTCCCTCCACACAAACTAGCATATGCCAAGAAAGCGTTTGAGGAGTTGCTGGCCGACAATATCATCCGACCCTCAGACAGCCCATATGCTTCACCACTGGATCTGGTGCCCAAATCCGACGGGGATTTCAGGATCTGCGTGGATTACCGGAAACTCAATGCATCCACAGTGCCCGACCGGTATCCTGTTCAGCATATCCACGACTTTGCCTCAGGTCTACAGGGGGGCCGCATTTTCTCAAAAATCGACCTGACCAAAGCCTACTACCAAGTTCCAGTTGCTCCGGAGGACATCCAAAAGACAGCAGTCACAACCCCTTTTGGACTGTTTGAATTCCTAAAAATGCCCTTCGGACTGCGCAACGCAGCCCAGACGTTCCAGAGGCTGATGGACGAAGTTCTGCGCGGCCTACCATACGTCTACGCATACATTGATGACACCCTAATGGCTAGCAGAGACGCTGATCTCCACAAACAACACCTGGAGGAAGTGTTCCGTCGTCTAACACATTACGGCCTCTGAATCAACCCAGACAAGTGCGAATTCAGTGCACAACACATAGACTTCCTCGGACACCACACAGACGCTCAGGGAATCACCCCACTCCCCGATAAGATAAGAGCCATACAGGATTTCCCGATGCCCACATCAATAAAGCAACTGCGACGCTTCTTGGGGATGGTAAATTTTTACCGCAGGTTTATCCCCGGATGCTCAAAACTCCTCACCCCACTGACAAATCTCCTCCAGAGAAAAAACAAAGCCATCACCCTGGAGGGCGACCAGGAAAAATCATTCCAAGCAGAAAAAACTTTTAGCTAACTTTACGAAGTTAGCACATCTCAACGAAGACACCCGGACTCAGATATATCTAACAACAGATGCCTCAGACACTGGAGTTGGAGCTGTGTGTAGAACAGGAGGTTGACGACCAACGCAAACCCATCGCATTCTTCTCGGCTAAATTATCACCAGCCCAGTCCAGATACAGCGCCTTCTCGAAAGAACCTTTGGCTATATACCTCGCCATCAAACACTTCCGACATCTACTGGAAGGCCGGAATTTCACCGTTTTGACCGACCACAAACCCTTGACAACTTCCCTGTCGAACAATTCGGACAAATATACGGCTCGCGAGATCAGGCATCTGGACTATATCTCACAGTTCACGTCCGATATTCGTTATGTCAAAGGAAAAGACAACTCTGTCGCCGATGCCCTATCCAGATTCGATGTCAACACTGTGGAAGACAGCCCACTCAGCCAGGACGTGATAGCAGAGGCCCAGGAATCCAACGCAACCCTCCCTGAAGTCCTAGCCAACACATCCCTGCAACTGAAAGAATTTCCGGCACCTTTCAGCAACAAAATATTGTACTGCGATACAAAACTGGATCACCCCAGACCCTACATACCTCCGGAACTCAGAAGGGAAATTTTCAACCACCTACATGGATTGTCACATCCCAGCAAGCGCGCTACGGTCAAACTCATTGCCGATCGTTTTGCGTGGCCCAACATGAATACTGACATCCGTAATTGGGTATCAACGTTCCTTAAGTGCCAGAAATGCAAGGTTCACCGACACACAAAATCCCCGCCAGGCACATTCAGCAACCCTGACGCACGCTTCAGCCACATCCACATCGACATAGTGGGACCCCTCCCAATGTGCCAGAATTATCAGTACCTCCACACAGTGGTCGACCGTTTCTCCAGGTGGCCAGTAGCAGTACCCATCAGAGATACCTCGGCTAGCACGGTAGCAAAGACCATCCTTCAGGAGTGGATCGCAATTTTGGCGTACCCAGCATCATCACCACAGACGGCGGCGCGCAGTTCCAGTCCTCACTCTTTCAGGAATTCACTCAACTGCTCGGCGTCAAATACATCAAGACCACCGCCTACCATCCCTGCGCCAACGGTCTTGTGGAAAGGTTCCACCGAACACTAAAGGCCTCTCTAACTACAGAACATCCCACCAGCAACTGGGTAGACGAGCTACCCCTAATCCTTTTGTCAATCCGCAACACACTCAAAGAAGACTTAGAATGCACTCCATCCGAAATAGTTTTCGGTACAGCACTCTCTTTACACCATACCCAACCTCCCTACTGCAAGTCCTTTCACTCAGGAACTTCGCCATAAAATGGCCCAACTGAAGTATACACCACCCAGGCAATCATCACCAACTATCCACGTTCCACAACAGCTTCAGGACTGCGAGTTCATTTTCGCCCGAAATGACGCGGTAAAGAAACCACTAACACCAACATACCAGGGTCCATTCAAAGTTTTAAAACGCTCTGAGAAGCATCTCACCATTGATCGAGGAAGCCGGACAGACACCATCTCTATCGACAGAGTCAAACCAGCTTTTCTGGAAAAATCTCCACGGGAGACAGAACCCGTCTCAAACACCCAGAACCTTCACCTGCCTCAACAACCACGCAATCACAACCGTCACAACCGAAGTCATGGCCAATCCCAGAAGCACCCACAACTCCAACCAGGTAGACCCGTCTTGGAAGGAAAGTCACCTTCCCTAAAAGTACAAGACATATATTTTCTTCTAATTGATAATGATCAATTATCCTGGGAGAGGGCCTTGTCGGGTGTGTCCAATCACCACTCCCCTTTTTTCTTAAACAACCCCGGCTATGCCAGCTGGTAGAGAAAGGTCACAACCCTTGTGTGCTAAAAATAGCAACGACATCCTTTCAAACTGACAGAAACACACAAAACTCAATTTTCGCCACTAAACAAAAATAAAAGACCTTTAATTTCGAACCGAAATTAATTTAAATCTGATCAACAAACACCGAACACACTTTTGACTGTAATTAATACGGCTGAAATTAATTATATTCATTTACTTGTTTAGCGTCACCGCTTCTCTTGTATGAACCGTTATATCTAGATGCCTGAGACTTCACAATGGTTTTTAGCCGGCCCGGGGAGCAGCCCGGCCTTCAGGCTGGGTTGCGACCCAGGCAAAAATCTAGTTTGGACCATATCAGGACCTGCTAAGACAAGCCAAGACCAACTTGGACCTAAACATTGACTAAGCCTTGACCAGCTTGGACATGTTATGACCAAAACATTGACTAAGCCTTGACCAGCTTGGACATGTTATGACCAGTCTTTGACCAGTGACCCTATGCGGAAACGCTTGGGTTTTCCCAAGAAAAAACGACCTTGTGTCACTTCTTGACCCCGTGGGAGTCAAGCCATCCCACGAAAAACGACCTTGTGTCACATCTTGACCTCGTGGGGTCAAGTAAATACCGCCGGCCCGGGGAGCAGCCCGGCCTTCGGGCTGGGTTGCGACCCATGGCAAAAGTCTAGTTTGGACCATATCAGGACCTGCTAAGACAAGCCAAGACCAACGGACCAGAACTTGACTAAGCTTTGACCAGCTTGGACGTGTTATGACCAAAACATTGACTAAGCCTTGACCAGCTTGGACATGTTATGACCAATCTTTGACCAGTGACCCTATGCGGAAACGCTTGGGTTTTCCACGAAAAAACGACCTTGTGTCACGACTTGACCGCGTGGGAGTCAAGTAATCCCCACGAAAAAAACGACCTTGTGTCACATCTTGATCTGGAGTTGCGACCGCCTATGGAAGGAAGCCCGGCCTTCGATCTGGTTTGGACCATATCAGGACCATATCGGGAACTAAGACAAGCCAAGACCAACGGACCAGAACTTGACTAAAAAGCTGACCAGCTTGGACATTTGTGACCAAAACATTGGCCTTGACCAGCTTGGACGTTATGACCAATCTTTGACCAGTGACCCTATGCGGAAGCGCTTGGGTTTTCCACGAAAAAACGACCTTGTGTCACGACTTGACCGCGTGGGGTCAAGTAATCCCACGAAAAACGACCTTGTGTCACATCTTGACCTCCTTGGTCAAGTAAATACCACCGGCCAGGTGAGCCGGAAGGAGCAGCCCGGACCTTCGAGCTGGGTTGCGACCATGGCTAAATCTAGTTTGGACCATATCAGGACCTGCTAAGACAAGCTAAGACCAACAGACCAAAAACTTGACTAGCTTTGACCAGCTTGGACATGTTATGACCAATCTTTTGACCAGTGACCCTATGGAAACGCTCGGGTTTCCCACGAAAAACGACCTTGTGTCACATCTTGACCCCGTGGGAGTTAAGTAAATACCGCCGGCCAGGGGCAGCTCGGCCTACAGGCTGGGTTGCGACCATGGCAAAAACCTAATTTGGACCATATCAGGACCTGCTAAGAAAAGCCAAGACCAGAACTTGACTAAAGCTTTGACCAGCTTGGACGTGTTATGACCAAAACATTGACTAAGCCTTGACCAGCTTGGACGTATTTGACCAATCTTTTGACCAGTGACCCTATGCGGGTTTTCCCGAAAAACGACCTTGTGTCACATCTTGACCTCGTAAGTCAAGTAAACACCGCCGGCCAGGGCCTTCCTGAATCGCGACTTTGACGCGCCAGTCAAGTCGACCAGGCCCACAGCAGCAGTTGTTCAAACAGTCCTTTTCAGGGCTAACTTCTGAAAGTCATTCGATCACCACTCTTCGAGGCTCCACTCCACTCTCTGCCTGCTTGCCTCTGAGACACCAAGCTCCTCCTGCAGCTTCCAGCTCACTCCCGCAGCTTCCAGCACTCTTGCAGCCTCCAGCTCATTTCAGCAGTCTCCAGCTCACCTCGCACCTGCAGCTTCCAGCTCACTCCTGCAGCTCCCCGAAGTTTTCAGCTCACTCTTGCAGCTGCCAGTAGCCTCCAGCTCACCCCACAACAGCTTCCAGCGGCCTCCAGCTCACTCCTGTGGCGCTTTACCTATTCCAGCATCCGCTGACGCCTGACGATCTAATCCAGTGCCCACTGACGTCCAGCGCCCGTTAACGTCCGGATACCGTTCCCGAACAAACGACCTCTGTCGTCTTTCAACCCACTGTTCGCAAATAAAGAAACGATTTCTATCGTCTACAACGGACCATCTGCGTTTATCATCCTTCTTTGCTATTGCCATCTCCTTGCCTTTGTGTCCCCTATTTTAGTTGTACGGTCGATTGGCACTCACACCTCTCGGCCCGCTGCAACACATTTCCCGAAGACAAGGAAAGAAATTATTATGAGAAATCTGGAAGATATCAACAAACCTTATGACAAAGTTTTAATTAATGAACGCGTGCCAAAGAGATGATGGTGAAAGATAGAAAACTGACTACACTCATTGAGTGGTGTTGGTATAAGATACAAATAGGAGAAAGAGAGGGTAATTAGAACAGAGGAAAGGTTTCCCATATTTGAACAGTTCTGAGTTTTGATTGGATATTTGGAAAATCCTGGAATCCCAGATCGCGTCGGATCCCACACCGATGTTGGAAAACCGTTAGATTGGAAGGGAATTAGCAATAGCAGCTGTGGCAGAGATGTGCTTCACCAAGAGGGAGACGATCACTTCGCCGATTCCCATGTGATTTGCTGACACAGGTAACTCCTGACTCACGCCTTGTTTCAGACAAACAGATAAAACTGAGTAGAGTCCCGTGACAAAATTCAAAAGTGGAAGAATCGAAAGTCTTTATGTGACGAGAGAGAGAGGGGGGAAGAGAGAAAGATATATAGAGAGAAAGATAGAGATAAAGAGGGAGAGAAAGATATAGAGAAAGACAGATATATATATAGAGAGATAGAGAGAGAAAAAGATAGATAGATAGAAAGAGAGAGAGAGAGAGAGAGAGAGAGAAAGAGAGAGAGGAAACTGCTTTGTCAGCATTCCATAATTCGCTGTCTGACGAAGTCTCTGAATTGGAAACAATGTGTCACGAAATTAGACGATGAGGGAATGGGCGTTAGCCTGTATGCTTGTATCCCTATAAGAAAAAAGTGTTCCCGTATAAACCTGTTATACTACCTATTCTATGGTAATGGCTCTCCCATAGACAATAAGTAGCAGTAGCGGTCGCCAGTTCGGCTGAATGCTGTTGAGCAAGTCAGACGATATCGGACATTGAAGTACCAACCATCACAACTAGATTGCTGCGTCATTAACTCTTATTTTCCAAGTTCCTAACGTTTTGTACGTCGAACCTAATTTAGGACGACTTATTAAAATACAAGCCTCCACTGTGAAAACTACTCCACAACATTTTGGCGAACGAGGATTCGAAACTCACACAGGAAAAGAAAAACTTTTCGTACGCCTAACTACAACATTTTGGCGACGACGGACTCGTAATCCACACGGGAAAAGAAAAATGTTTCGTTTACTTTACCACAACATTGACGACGAGGGATTCGTTTCTCAGACGGAGAAAGAAAAAAAAAAACAAACTTTTCGTACGTCTAACAACATTGGCAACGAAGGAATTCGTAATTCATACGTAAGAAAAATTTTTCGTTCACTCTATAACAATTTTGGCGACAAAGAATTCGAAATTCATACGGAAAAAATTTTAAAGAGAAAAAAATTCGTTTCGCCATATACAACACTTTGCTACGAACGTATTTTGGTTTCATACGGAAAAAGAAAGAATTTGCGTTCACTCTACAACTCTTGTCAACGTGGATTCGTAACTCATACAGAAGTGAAAAAAAAAAAAAAAAGAAAAATTCACCCGCCATAATAAACGTAGCGTACGTGGGATTGCGTTTCATACAGTGAAAAGAAAAAAAAATCGCTCACGTTATTTAGTGACGAAATTCGTGTTTCACACGGAGGGAAAAAAAATTTGCACGTCAAATTTTCGACAACAAAAAACTTGGCAAAGTTTTTTCGAAAGACAAAACGTCAACTTAGTAACGAAAAAATCAGTCGTATTCTTAACTGAGAAAAGAATTTTATTATTTTTTCTCGATAAGACATTTTGCTCAAATAGGTCACGAATTACAAATTCGTTTTGGACCCCCCTCTACAATATTTAAGCATTGGGTAAACTTTTTGCGAAGATGGAGGAAAGCAAAAATATATTCCAGGAATTTTTTAAGTTCCAGACGGAACAACAAAAGACTTTATTAGAGCAGCCGCAAACATTCCAGTTACAACTTCAGGAGGATACCTTTAATAGACAGATTCAATTTCAACGAGAAATGGAACTGATTCACAAGGAGTTTCAAAACAAAATTCTGGAAATAACTGAGAAGAGGAAAAAGGAAAATTTACAAAATGTTTCTTTCCCAGAGAATACAATATGGTATTCGATTGAAATATTCACGTACAGTTCAGACGAAGAAATAACTTTTGAAGAGTATTTTAAAAAATATACGGACGTGTATAACGAGGACTGCCACACGTGGTCTGAAGGAAAGAAGGTTAGACTTCTTTTAAGCAAGTTAGGAACTGCTGAACATAACAAATTGGTAAACTACATTTTACCGAAAAAAATCTAGCGAGTTAACTTTTACCGAGGCGGTAAATATATTAAGTGAATTATTTAGTAAAAAGACATCTTTGTTTTCAAAAAAGGTGGAAATGTTTGAATCTGAAAGAAGATGAACAAGACTTCATAACGTATGCAGCTAATGTGAACAAGCGTTGTGAAGAATTCAAACTAGCAGAATTAAGCGCTGACAATTTTAATTGATCTTGATTCAGGGTTTATTTCAGAAAGAGACGCAGAATTGAGGAAATTGGTACTTTCAAAATTGGAAAACGAACCGAGGATTTCGGTACAGAGTTTATGAAGACTGCACAAGATATGTTAGCGTAAAAGAAAGACTATAAAAAGATAGAACAGTCTGGCGTTTCGCATGCAAGAAAAATACGCTACAAAAAAGAAAGTCAGTCTACCAAAAATTCTAAAATTGCGGATTATCAAACAAAAAGTGAAATACCAGGAAAAATAAACAAAAACTCCCGAAGCCATGTTTTGCTTGCGGTGAACTTCACTGGTATAGATATTGCAATTTTAGGAATAAAAAATCTTTCAACTGTGAAAGAGTGTGGCATAAAAGCTCGCACTGCAGGCCAAAAAATAAAAGCAATAAAATAAGTCCGACGAAGTGAACGACGGAATAACCAGAAAATTTGTTACCTTCGAAATAAGTAATAAAAAAATAAAAATGCAACTTGTTGCGGGCACCCCGTGCTGCCCCATATCACACAAGGGTGAATGAGGTCACAAGAGGCCCGCTAACATTTTTGAAGACATTAAATCTGACAGTGAAACAATATAGACGACAGAACGAGGATATATATGATATATGCTAATTTATTCTAGAAAAGAAAAGGAAATAAAGGTGGTCGGAAACGGTAGAGGTACAAAAGTTCTAGTGCAGGCATTGATGGTCGTGGTTGGTCGTTACAGGTGATCGCTGTTGGTCATGCAGGTGGTCACTGCAGAGATCATCACTGTAGTTGAAGCTGATGTGGGTTGTTGCCAGGATCATCGCTGTTGATTGTTGCAGTTGGTTTTTGGCAGGATGATCGCTGTTGGTTGTTGAAGTTGATGTTGGTTGTTGTAGTTGATTGTTGCCGGGGGTGCCAACTTGACGTGTTGGGAAGGAAAGAAGAGCTGGCGTTGTTCGGGCATGTCAAAGTTCCAGTGCAGGCGTTGCGTGTTTGCCGGTCGAGTCCGATATTAGTAACCTCCCGTATTAATTACTAACATAGTGTACGGGGAAGGTTAAGGACGACGTGCAGGCAGCCAGTAGGGACGGAATGCCGAGAGTTGAACAGGAGCCAGGAGTAGTAGGTGAAGGAGAGAGAGAGAGAAAGGAAAGTTTCCAACTATCATCAAGTTGGCAGACAAAAAAAAATGGGAGCGTAACTTAATACGCAGCCCGGTGATCGACATCCCTGGCCAGCGAAGGCCAGGTGGGTGGGGCTGCGTATCCGACCGTTTCAGTAGCCGACGATTTATTTTGTAAAATACAAAATTATGGCACAAGGCCGAAAGGGGGGGGGTAAAAGGCTGGTCTTCACTATCTTATACCTAGCTAATTTGATTCACGACCCATTCAGACATTACAATTTACTCATTCACCATAAGAACTCGTCCGTCACCAATCAATCCTCCATGCACCATAATACCACATCCACTCTAGGGTGACCTACAAAACGCGCCCCGTGTCATAATAATTTAATGATCCTAACACATATGTACAAAATTCTAAAATAAAAAGATGAGAGAGGGGAGAGAACCCAATAACGAACTAAAATATTAACATAAATGAAAGATAGGGCTCGTCCAACCCTCAAAAGGCAGGGGAGACCACTGTATTCTGCCCATTGGAACAAAATCAAACAGCTCTCGCTAAATGGGAAATTCAAACGGGCATGGGGAAGTATAAATGACCCAGTCGAGATAGAAAGTGGGGGCCAAAAAACAAACTGGGAGGTTGGGAATCTCAGGCTGGATCAACTTAAAAGATGTGGCCGGGGCAGGCCGGGAACAAACTCGCAGTGGTACACCAAAGACTAACCTAACCAGGGGGAGGCACCACAGGAAGCCACCCCGATGTAACGTAGGCTTGGAACAAAAATCAAGCGTTTTCTAGTTCTGATCTTCATCTTGAGCTGATGCTCAAAGATCAGATCAGATCCTGATGAGAAAGACGGATACCCGGGCGTCGTCCATATCACCATCTTTGTAAAAAAACCATCCGTTTCACCCCGGAATACGGGGGCGACACATTGTCGCGCGGATCCATGGGCAAGCTTTTTGGGGCAAGAAGCCGTCAGCTCGCCGACACGTCCCATAAAGGGGCGGACAGGGGCAATCGAGCCGATCTAGACCAAAACCGATCGCAGGCAAATCCGCCAAGCCCCATATGAAGGCCCTCATTGAGAGGCAGCCGAAGCCAGTCGCCAGGGAAAACTCAGGTTACTGAGGTAATCCACCCAAGACCAATCTCCGACAAGGCATGGATGCGCGACCCTCCACTAAACGATAAAGATCGAGAAGGCCCCTGGACCGAGGACGGCCAACAAGGCCAACCGACATTCATGAATGCGATTCTTAGGGGCCCAATGGCGCTGCACGCTAACAACCCACCTGTCCCTCAGCCGGCGAAGGAGGCTCCAACGCCAAAGCGTATCCTCCAAAGTGGAGGGGCGACAGCGGGCAGTCGTCCTGACGAACGATAAAGGACGACCTGTCACAGCGCGGAAAATCGCGCCCGACAGCGTCGACCTTCGTTCGTTCACCTGTACCACAGCACTGGGGAGCTGGAAGATCGACCCCCTACAGGGCGAGGATTAAGGTACCTAATCCAGCGGGACGACAGAAGTTACATCATCGGCGTACGGAAACCTGGTGCCGGAATCCGGCGGCCTCAGCCGGCAGGACAACGCCAAAGCAAAGTAGCGATGGTCAAAGCGCCCCAGCTTATCAAATGCACTGGGGAGCGATACAGGGACTAATCGGCAGAAGTTGGGTGCGAATCCGGCGGCCTGCAGGACAGCAGCAGCGATGGTCAACCCTATCAAATGCCTGGACGATCGTCTTCGTCTTTTACCCTCTATGATCGTGCGGATCAAATGCAGGTTGCTCTGAATTGTTCGACGCCTCACAGCACAGGTCTGCTCGGGACTCAACAGAGACTCGGCAACTGACTGCAAGCGCTCCTGCAGGATCTTGGCCATAATCTCTAACTCTGTGTTTAGCAGAGTTATGGGCCTGTAGTCGTCTAGTTTTCCCCCCGACACCCCTGCCCTTTTCAACAGCGTGATCACACCCCTGGAGAACCGGTCGGGGAGGGACCCCTGCCGGAACCAGTTGTTGAACACTGCTGTCAAAATCGGGACAAAGATGTGCGACAGCCTCAAGTACACTCCATAGGGAAGACAATCCAGACCGGGCG